AATGCTCCCAAAAATGGCTCCACAGCATGTAAAAATATAATATAAGCTCTGGCCGACTTGGTTCTATGGTAGGTCTTAAAGGGTTAATCTATTTTACCCTGCTCCTGTTTTACATGTTATGCCATCATTTTCGTTATTTAAAAAAAGCAATAAAACCACTCACAGTGCTGACTAATAGCTACACAGGAGCTCCTTAGCTTAGGTAAGTGATTTTATGAGCCCTCAACTCTGGATGAATTTCCCATGACCACAGGCCTGTTTAAGTGTCATAGCACACTAATTTCTTTTTACGGCTGTTTTATGAATCTCTAGTTCTTCAGAAATGTTTTAAAATTACCTTTTTAGGTTTTCTTTGCCTGGGTTTTCTAACATTAGCAACTTAGGCAATGAAATGAAAAGATAATGAACAGACTGCTTCTCTAAGCTAAATTCATATAAGGGCTGAAACTGCAAATCAATGAAAAGTGCAGAATCAGAAAACAACTTTCTAAAGCTTAAGAAGTGCCTCATAATTGTGGCTTTAATATTACAGAAGTTCTGCTCCATGGGCTTGTGACTGGCCATGAAAGTGGTTTTAAATGATTGTATTTTCATTTACTGCTTTCTCCATTTCCTCTTGACTCCTTTGTTTCTCTGTTCTTTGTGTTCACTCTTAGATATTCGTCATGTTTCTGTTTGTTTCTTTTTTTTCCTTTTTGTGTTTTTTTCCTTCCTATTTTTTTTCCTTTCCACTTCTTGGGGACTGTGGCTCAGGAGATAAATCAGGTCATTTAGTTGGGCAGGTTGGTGATTGAATCCCTGACTGCTCCAGTCTGCATGTCAAAGTATCCTTGGACGAGCTCCTGCTGCGCTCATTGGAGTGTGAATATTTTCATATTGCATTCACTTCACACGTATTCCTTCATTCATTTGTTTACCAGAGTGATGGTGGAAGGAGGTGTCACTCATATCTCATTTTTGCGTCAGCGCTTTTTGCCAGATCCATCCATGCTGTACACGGCAGCATCATTAATTCCCAAAGCATCCAGATACCAACCACTTTTCTTGAGTTGACACTAGGGTGGGCAGTTGTTTTTGTTTTCATATCGTCCTACTGTATTATCATCAGGATCTATGATAGACGCATTTAAAATATAGGCAATATCACAGCACAGTTACTATTTTTTACTTGTATTCTACTTTATTTTATCAGTGTATTTAATCAGAGTAACTTGGGACGCAGGGCTTTGTACAAAACATTTGATCACCTTCAATTTACTGTTGAATCACGAATAGCTGTTAGATTGCTGGGTACCAACAGCCCAGCTGATATGATCAGACTAAACACTTCAAGTGCTGATCAACAGAATATGAAGCAGCAGCAGATCTGATAGCTACATGACAAAAAATCTATGGCTTTATCTTTTCCTTCATTGTGAAAACAAGGAGGGTTAACAGTTAATCACAGCACATATTGATGTGAACCTGGTGGTTTCTTTCTATATTTAAGTGTGTTTTTCTGTGTGTGTGTGTTTTTATTAATATCTTTGTGGGGACCAAAAATTGGAAAATTACTATACTTGTGGGGACCAACAGCCCTTATGG